AATACCTAGGGCTCAGAGTATACTCCGTACCGTAGATGCAGAAAGGAGACTCGCATGGGGCTGACCAACCCCATTCAGGGAGAATGGAGGCCAAGGCCTACACCTACCTTTGCTCGGTGGTCCACCCTCATTCACTAACTTCGTCGGCCCTCCCATTGTTGTTGCAGGACTGATGGCTAGGGCATGCATGATCATCTAAATTAGATAAAGGAGATAAATTAGAAACGTTGGTAAGCCGCAGGATCCAACCTCTCAGACCGAGGAGGATGATCGAGATGACGATGGTGCCACCCACGAACGGCTACGCCCGAGATCTCGAGCAAGGGAAAGCGGGGAGCGTTGTACAGTACCATGGAAACAAATCGCTCAGGTACGAGGGGGAATCAAGACGAGATTGGCTGTATGTGCCTGTTTATTGATAGAAATATTCGGGATTTTTGAACTTGTACTGTAATTTCACACTCGTTCTGTTCTGTTTTCTTTTCATTTTGTTTCGGTTCTTTTCCTCTCTCTTTTTTCTGTTTACTTCTAGGAAACTAAAAATGAGAATGAAAACCAAAAGAATAGATGGGCACTCGTTCATCACAAAATACAATCTTACGGAGTACCGTCTACTCAGTATGTTCTCTCTCGAACCCCTGAGGGCTTGAGACCAACACCAAAGCGTTAAAATGGAAAAGATTGGCTCCGTCTTGCAGGAGGGAATCTGACCATGGCTGCAGCCAGGCTTTTGGGTGCTTGTGCTGCGCTGGCGAATGAGTGATCGGATCTCTCCAAGTCGCGAATTTTCAACGGTGCAGCTGTTTTTTTTCTTTTTTTTTCTTTTTTTTTTCTGGCGCGTTTTTATTAATATTATTATTAATTATCGTTTTGGGCTAATTGCAGACGCCGATGAGTGCAAGCGTGTCTTACTGATGTACGATCCGGTTTCTCCACTGCGATCGTTACCAGATCTGGGCCAAGGAGAGACAACTGCCACCCCCCCTGGTGCAGGTTTGAATCACACCTTCAAATGATCTTCTTGGCATTCATCATTTCCTCGGGTCTTAACCTGAGGGGGATAAGGCAATCTGTGATGGTTAACTTTGGCTGCTTGAGATGCTGAGGGAAAGACAAATGCTGTTGGAGCTTGGTGGATGGGCCTTTTTCCCCTTCGTTTCCGTGGAAGGAAATAATAGTATGTCTGCGTATATTTCTCACATATGGACTATATATAGTGCAATCAGACACCCGCTCAAGTTGGGTTTTCGTAAATCGCCATAGCCCTGGGAAAGATTTTGCCATAGAACAACTCTCCTTGGCGTATAATCTATTGAAAGGACTGACTCTGCTTGGCCCAAGGTGCCATCTTATTCTGTGTTTCTCCCCCGAATTCTCGCACACAAAGAGTTGCACAGCCTATATCAAGGTACCTGGATACCTGGATAATGAATTACATATTGCCATATTACAGACAGCTAATCTAAGATCTACTTTGTTAGTCAATCAAAGTGAACAGTTGAGTGAACGCACCATTGGATTTCTCGTGAGGGGGATGATCTTGCTGAAAGCGTGCTAGATCACCACGTCCCCTGTATTTTCCCAAGTTTCTTCCCATGTACGGAGTAGCACTCGCTTAGATTTTATTGATCTTAAATATTATTAAGAACCATCCTAATTTTTTGCCCTCTTTTTCCTTTTTTTCTCCCCCCCTTCAGTCGCCCACTGGGGCTGATGAGCTTAGAGTAGTCAACCGACAACCAAACTGTCACCTGGGCTAACTCTCCCGCCTCTCTAGTCTCCTTCCTTTTATTTCTCTTTTCTTTTTTAAATTAAAGTCAGTCAGCCGTTCCTCTAACTTGCGTAGCCTGCGATCTATGGATCTCGATTCTGGCTTTGACCCATCACCAACAGCGATATGGACCGCTTATGGTAAATAACATTACCTACCTATTATTCTGGTGCGCCTACAGTCATACCGTACCTACTGTGCCTGTATGTACTGTATGTCCGACACATGCACCTATGTACTGTACATACATCCATACCTAAATTTTTTAATACATCTATATAATACAGGGTATCAGAGGTACTCCTGGGTACAGTACATACACCATGTACTGAATTTCCACCTGTACCAGGTAGGTAGGTGCCTTACGTAGTTGTCTCGTTACACAATACATTCCCCGTCTCCAGCGCCCTGGGATGATAACCACCTTCCCACCCGAACATACCGTGTAGGACCGTAGCAAAAGCCAATCTGCTTTTCCCGTCACGTTGGATCTTGGTAAACTACTACAGTACTACGTTTGCTCCAGGATTATGGGTGTTAGTGGTCATGACAGGCTGGCCTCCAAGTTCTTTCTTGTGGTTAGGAACCTATAACACTGGCCTTTCAACTCAAAATATACGTCTGCATAGGACCTGATGCAGACTGGATAAATCTGTACCTGGATATAACCAGCAGTAGAGAAACAGGTATCAGACCACTACGAGGAGTACAAGTGCGGAAAAGGCAAAAGGATGGAGAATCGGGGAGGTTATTAAATTACGTACAGTGTACAGATTACGGGAGCAAAAATAGTGGGGCAGGTCACTAGATCAGTCGGTCGGTATCTCTGATGTTTTCTCTCGCTGCCCTTTTTTTTCTTTTTTTCTTTTTTTTTTTTCTCCCCCTTCCCCTCCCTTCCTGCCTTTCCTTTTGGGCCAGGGACAACTCCCCTGGTAAGGCTCCATCGCTCTCCACCAAGATATCCGCACATCGCCAATATGATCCCAACCCACTCCACACTTCTTCGAAGATCCGCAGTTCGCAGCCCGTAAAGCTTCTGTAATTCGCCGTAACTTTAAACCGGTCACGAATGGCAGTGTGAGTTGACGATCTTGTAAGTCCCGTTCTGGCTCCTGTCTGTCTTTTAATTTTCCAGGTCTGAGCTCATCAGCGCGCTGGGCCGACGTAGTTTTAGTAGCTCCTGTTTGGATCCTCCCATACTCCGTATCTTTCTGTCTCGCTCTCTCGTGTGTGCGGGCCTGACTGTGGCGGTCTTTTGGAATAGTCTTAATTTGCTAGGTGATAAATATTTTATTTTCTTCGATTTTTTATTTTCCGCAATATATTTATTTATTTTTAAAATTATTCTTTTTTTTCCTTTCCTTTTACTTTTTTCTTTTCGCCTTTTTATTTTTTATTTTACTTTTTAATTCTTCTGACTATATCTTTTTCCCCTAGTTTATTTGACTTAACTTACCCTTTCTCTTATTTCATCCTCTGTTGTAGGAATTATAATAGCTTCCTTCTTCCTTGCGATCGCTGTTATTCCTGTGCCCACCCGCCACCTCGTCTTCCACTACCTTGCTCGTTCTTTCTGATTTCTTGCATTCCAAGCGAGACGGAGAGTCCAGGCGCCTTTCTTGAAAAAAGAGAAAGAAAAAGAAGACGAGAAAAATTGAGGGGAAGAAAGAGTTATTTCTCCCCAATATACTCTCCTCTAATTTGTTCAATTTGCTAATATTATATCCACTCCGACTCCCTTGACATTTCATCTGATCTTTGGGCTCCCCTCCACATTCTATCTCTTGAATCTCTTTCCTCCCCGACTTTGTTTCTCTTTTATCTTTCCCTTGCCTTCTTCCATTACTCTACAATTAATAATCTTTCCTAATTACCATTCTCTCTGAGAGAGAATTCTAACAGAAAAGCAAAGAAAAGGCACGACAGGACAGGGAAAAAAAGAGACCAACAATCTCCCCCTTCCCTTCCACGCGACGCATTCATCGCTATCCCTTGCGTGTACTGCGCCTCCGCCGCTCTACTCCCGTCCGCAAAGAAAACTCAAACACATTCAATTCTATCTCTCTTTTCAAATCCGACCCCGAAAATTTTGACGGTGAAAATTCACATTGGCTCATCGGGCTTTGGACAGATGGTTATTCGAAACGCTGGAAGGGCCGTTCCGATCTGATCTGTTCGCTGCGCGTTGCGGGAGCGTGCCGTACTTTGGATTTCTTATTCTTTTTCTTTTTTGACCTCTTTTCTTTTTTTAATTGCAATCATTATTTCTCGGCCCTCCGCTGCCTCACCTGCTATCAAATTAATTACAATTTGACAACTGCGGGCAATCGCGATCGCATCGCCTGCAGACTGCCTGATCTCCCAACGCCACTTTGCTTTCCACGCAGTTGTTCGTTCCAATCATTGCCGGGCCGTCTGTTTTGGTCTTGCTTTCTTGGGTCGATTACCTAGCTGGAGCCTTTGCGTCCTCAGGCCGTTCATTCCGCATCTCGGGTCCGATTTAATCTCTCTGTTCACCCCCCACAACCGCCACCACCCCCAGACAACCTTGGGTTGAAGGGAGAGGTGGCACTCACCGTGTGATTTGTGATTTCATCTTTTCGCTCTTCCTTTTTACTTGCCTCACTTGGTCTCCCTCCCCTCAGGAGCGATTAAATATATTTGATCCACCTCGTCGCCAGGTCTCTCGGTGACGTCTCAAGGGTTACCCTTACTATCTCACAGCTTCACGTCCTATACTACTCACCACCTTGATTCGACCTTATCTCATCTTGTCGCTGGTTTCACGATAATTTTCGACCATCAGTTTCGGTCCTATTCTATTGGATTTACCCGTCGGGATACGGCCTACCTCCGGTTTACGTTCGGAGGCGGTACATCGCCACGCCCATTGCAATAGGTTCTTGGCGGTCAATGACATCGCGATTGATCAAACTGCTATATAAACTTGAACCACTGGCATCATGGGGTCTTTAGAAGCTGGCCACAGACATCGGTTCGTTTTGCCTTCCCTTTTCCTTTTCTTTTCTTTTCTCCTACCCTCCCCACCTCCTGTCCCCTACTATGTTGGTCGAATTTTAAAGTTGCTAATGGATCCTACTCCACAAATAGGGAACATCTACCAGCTCTAGGTCTTCTAAATAAAGAAGGCTCTGTATACCCTCCTAAACACCCTGCATTCACATCAGGAACCGTTACATCTCCAGCACCACTTTTCAGCCCGACCAGCATGTATCCGGGCCAACCACTACTACCCTACTCCTACCCTCCGTCGACCGCCAGCACAGGGTCGGTCCCGGCTGGATACATCTCCCCCCCGGATTCACGGCGCGCATTGGAAGAGGAAAGAGAGAAACAACCCCAGAGACAGTCTCTCCCGTCAATCCACGAGGCTCTCGGCAATGACAATCCCTTACCGTACCCTGCTCCCACTTCCGCACCTCCCCAACAATCGCCTCATGCACCACCACATTCCGTTTCCTCTAACCTCATGGGACGTTCTACTGGGGAAGGACCGGCTGGACCCCCAAATCCCTTTCTAAATGGAACGCCTCCCGGACCTTTTGCACGAGAATCTGCGTATTCGCATCAACCTCAGCTACAGGCGGAAGCATCACGGACCAGCTTGGTGACCGTGAACACCCAGGATTCGAGAAATGCCTCGCTTCAATCGCTCAGCTCGGGCAAATCCCCTACGCAAAGCTCGAAAACCGGATTTACGTCAATCTCGGGATCACAAGCGGGATCCGGATATGAATACAGTGCGCCGCCTTCCGCAGGAGGTGGTATTGCTTCCCCAAATGGATACGGCCCTTTCTCCCAGTCCTTCTCGTTTCAATCGCAACCCCCTTCGAATGCGCCGGCTTATCCCTCATACGATGCTCGACCTTATGGCAGCTCGCCTTGGAAGCCGGGAATGCCAGAGACTGCGCGTGTTGAAGAAATGAAGGGTGGGTATGCGGGTCATCCGATGGCGGGACAGCCCCATCCGGATTCTGTCAAACGGCACTCCGAGGTCTACGATGTGGAGCAGTCCCTAAATGAGGTAGGTATCTTCTTAATTCGGGGAAACAGTGGATTTATCGGGCTTCGAGAGCCACTGGATTGGAGATGATCATGTGCTAACTGGCTTAGATTGCCGACATGAGCTCCCGCACTCTGGATTTTTCGCGGCACTATGCCCAAAGAGCGCACCAGACCCAGCGTTCTGGACCAGTCTTAGGGTCTCTGCCCTCTCTACACGAGGTGGACGATATGCTTAGTCTCCAACGCCGGAATCAGGAGGCTCTATTGCGTATACGAACCACCGTTCTGAACCAGGAACATGCCTTGGCAGAGCAAATGGCCCAAAGAAAAGCCTACAAGCATGGTGGGGTTCGCGAAGATGATCACATGGCAATGTACCAGGAAGACTTCAAGGGCAGTGGTGGGTTTGCCGGACCAGATTCCAAGAAGCGACGAGGGGTACGTTTTTCTTTCCCATTCCATTTCTTTTTCTTTTTGCCCCTGGTTCTTCCCCATTGGGTGTTCCTTCATTTCTAGAACCCTCGTTACCCACTTGTGATTTACCGTCACTGACAGACGTTGCAGAAAGCGGCTCCCCCTGGCCGTTGCCACAGCTGTAACCGAGCCGAAACGCCGGAATGGCGCCGTGGTCCAGACGGTGCCCGGACTTTGTGCAATGCCTGCGGTTTGCATTACGCCAAGTTGACGCGCAAGATGGGCGCCAAACAGGCATCGTCCTTGGGATCGAACCTCAAACCCAAGTCCCTTGACTCCGCATCTCCGAGCAGCCATTAATCTGTCATTCCAGCTTGATTTTATGTGGCGTTGAAAATGGCTTTGTGATTAGAAGTGCCAGGCGTTTGACAGTGTCCGGTTTATCACTTTTGGTCGGAACTCCTTCTATGTTGGTCTGATTCTAATGTTTCCGTTCAAGCATGGTGAGCATGGTACCGTTTGATTTTGCTTCTAGGAAACAGGCTCGATTTTACTGTTGGCTTTGAACCATCTGTGGGCTGTTTTCTTTCTTTTCTTTTCTTTTTTTGTTTTCCCGTTCGATCTGGTTACTGGAATTATTTTTAATACCCGTCGCACGTTGTCGGAAAAGGCATTGGATAGACTTTCACCTTTTTATTTTCGCTTCTGTGCTTCATTTCCTTTGTCTTTGGTTGCTGCATCTGTGGAACTGGTGCGTACACAGTTCGATGCCATTTCATTTCATTTATTGCCGTCCTGTTGCGTTGATTGGTGTTTTGTTACCATATACCCCATTTTACCTGTCACCTATTGCTCGTCTGGGAACTGCACAGGTGACGATTATTGTCATGTATGATCTTATATTATGCACTCACGTCTTAACTGTTTTGGGCAAAAGAAATTGAGAGGCTTATTTTGTGCAATGACTTTGATGTAATCATGGCTGCCTTTGGCTATTCTGTGGTTATTTGTATGTATGTATGTATATTGACCTCAATAATTGTATATTCCATGATTTTGTTCTATGTGTCACGGTACAAATTGTAGCTATGAACCTCTACAAGTAATAACGCTTCATGCCCATCTGTCATTTGTCCCGTTTTCACCTGGACCCCTCAAGCTACCCAACCTCTCATCTGGGTAGTTTAAGATGGCCAGTGGGGGGGGGGGGGGGGGGGGGGGGGGGGGGGGGGGGGGGGGGGGGGGGGGGGGGGGGGGGGGGGGGGGGGGGGG